GAAGAGTGGGGAGGAAATTAAAAATTTTTTTTATTTGGACTTCCAAAAAGGCAAAAAAAAAAAAAAAAAAAAAAAAAAGCTGTAAACACATATGAATGTGGTAGATTTCTAGATATTTTTAATTAGTCATGTCTATAAAATCTGGTTTCTATTTTTTGTTGTCATATCAATATATTTACTATTGAAACGTTCACCCCTGACATACTTTTTTATATTCTGGGTTCTGTGTCTTTGTTTTTCCTTTCCTTGATAACAAAGATGTTATCTAAAAAAAATTATACAAATACCTTTCTTTTTTTGTCATATTTTACTTGATTATAAACAAAACAGTTGAACACAACTGTGTTGAACACAACACAGCTGATGTGGACTGTCAGCTCACTGCCTGGACCGTTGATTACCTCACCAGCAGAGCACAGCATGTGAGGATTCCTGACTGTATGTCCGATCCGGTAGTATGCAGTCAGGCAACAGTTCTCTCCCCTTTCCTTTTCTTTCTCTACACCTCATATTTTAAACATAACTCGGACTACTGCTATGTTCAGAAGTTCTCAGATGATACAGCCATCGATCGTAGGCTATCGATCGGATTGGAATGACCTGAAGTACAAGGAGATCATTGACAACTTTGTTACCTGGTGTGAGCCCAACAACCTTCACATCAACACCACTAAGACAGAGGAGATGGTGATTGACTTTAGCATCAAGTCTGTACAGACATCACCAGCGAACGTCCAGGACTTGAACATTCAGATTGCGGAGGAGTAGAAGTACCTGGGTGTTCACCTTGTCATGGTGACAGTGATTCAGGCGACTTTTGGAGTGTGCAAGAAACTGTTAAAACCCTCTTATGTATTTTCACATTTATTAGTTATCTTTACTTATTTGCATTTACTCCAGTAACTTTTTGGAAAAAGATTAACTTTTAGGAGTAGCTTTACTACACTTTACTTTTTACTTGTACTCGAGTTATGAAGTATCACTGCTTTTTCTTGAGTAAAATTTCTGGATACTCTGCCCACTGTGAGTAACTTCATCAAATAAAGAACAAACAAATTTTACCATAAATGACAGACCTGCTACAGTTTTGTCTAGTTTGTTCTTTGTTATTCTATTGTTATTTTCTATCAGCTGAGCCTGTTGTGCCGCTTGGAAGTCATTTGAAAATACAGTAAACATTAATATAGTAGATATCATTACTAGAAGTATTTTACAATGTTATTATGTATATTTATCTATATATTGCTAACAGTAAAGATTATAAATTAATTTTGTAGGTTTTATAACAAAAAGAAATTTTGGAAAGTGTTTCTCTTGATTGAATTTGTTGTTTTGTAAATGTGTTGTTAATTCCCACTTCTTTTTCAGTTCCCAAAATACCAGGATTTGCACACAATTTTAGGTTTGGGTCTGTCTGAAAATATTGAATCAAATGTTGTGTTTACAGTGAACTCATTACTCGAATAGGCGTTTTACCAAATACCTCTGTCCTTTTACTTGAGTCATTTCTTGCATGGGTACTATGCATCTTTTGGCTGTTCCACCAACCTGTGATATCTGACATATTAAGAAAATGCATAAAACTAAATGCCTGCACAATGATATTCTGTTCAGTAGTTTTAGTTGCTCCTAAGAAAGCTGCAGTGATTCTGATGAATAGGCGCCTTTCACCTGCCTGTCCATCACCTTTGGATGCTTATTATCCACAGAGCTTGGCTGGCCCCTTTGAACCTTACAGACAAGTTTTGGGGAACAAAAGCAAACAAATCACATTGTGACATTTTTCACTGTCTTTCATGACCTCCTATTTAGGCACCTTTTGCCTCTCTGCATTCATGGTCCTCCAAGAAAGTCAATGGTTCCTCACATCCTATCAGGGCAAATCAGGAGGATACATGCTAATCCCCTTAATCTGCCCTTTCTCCTGCGTGCAGCCACAGGGAGAGAGGGACCACAAAGAGTAATCCTGTCAGAGAAACAATAGGATTAAGGGACCAACCTCACAAGTGACAATCAGGTATCCATTGACTGATCTACCAAGCAGGAGCCCTATCTGTAAAGTCCTGGCTGCCCTGTCTTCACTGTGACTTTATTTTTGTTTGGTGGGGTTAAGAGGAATGGCGGGTGTTACAGCAGGAGGGGTATTTCTTTGAGGGACTGCTGGAGGTCTGACAAGTCTGAGGTCTTCTATGCACCAGGGACCAAAGAATGACTGACATGTAGAGGAGTAGGAGCACGGAGGGGGTTTAGTAAAGAAAGGTGGGAAATGTGTGTATGTCTGTCTGTGTGGGCACAGGTGAGGCTGAAACACAGGATAACTTTTAGTTGGCATTTCACAAATTTGAACCTCATAGAAGAATAGCAAGAAAGAAGCTGCTGTTGAAAAAAATCAAAGATGTCTGCTGAATAACCACAAACCACGTAAGGGGAGACGGCAAACATGTGGAAGAGAGTGCTTAGTTTAGATGAGTCCAAAATTAGCATTTTAAGCTAAAACGATGTAGTGGAAAACTAACCCTGCATATCACCTGAAACACACTTTGGAAGGGCTGTGCATAAGACTGACATGACACTGTCATCAACATGACATAACATCTGTTATGAAGTTTTCATAAATGTTTGACTGTTGTCATGCAGTGTCATTCGATAAATAATAAAATTTTTAATGCAAAGTTGACAATTCTAATGGACTTTAAATGCAACTTTCCATTAAAAGTGTCACTATTTACAGAATAATGCAAAGTTGATGCTTGTAATGCTCTTTTAATGCAACTTTGTATTAAAAGTGTCATTATTTACCTCTTCACGACAACAGTCATAAACAGCCATAAAGACTCCTTCATGTTCATAACACGTGGTATGTCATGTTTATGACAGTGCCATGTCAGTCTTATGCACACCCAGTAAAATAAAGTGTTATCAAAACTATTTGTTTTAGAAAATCTGACAGGCCTTCATGTTCATGCTTAGGAAAGAAGAAAGGGTGAAAATGTGAGTCAGATGTTCAAAGATGGCAGACATAAACCAAAAGATTGGCAGCTGGACATGCAGCAAAAAGAAGTTTCTACAAAGTACTGGTTGAGGATGTTGCATACAAACTCTCGTCACAATTTACTAATTTTTACTCTTAAAAATCTTCTACTTTACCGTTCAGCTCTACTGTGAAATACACTGAAGTTCTAGTTTTGTAATGTGACAGAATGTAAAAAAAACGTCAAAGGTTATGAATATTTCTTCTTAATAATATATATTTAGGCAGCAAAATGAAACCAATCCTTCACAGCTGTACCCCACACTTCTAATCTGCCTCACAGTGTCAACATTTGCCCACCAGATGGCTCCATAAGTACCAATATTGTCTCAGTAAGTCTTTCATAAAAATCTAAAATCAGTCCTCAGTTAGGCCAGTCCTGGGTTTAAAGAGGACCATGTTGGTAAAGGATTTATTTATATATATTTGCATGTTAAATGTTCTATTTTTACTCTTTCCCTCCTTTTTTGTTTGACTCAAACATATATAGATATAACCAAAATGCAGTCAATATGTAAGTACAACGGATTGCAATTCACTTTGGCATGACTACTGATATTGCAAAAAAGAAGCAAGGATCAATTTAATGGACTAGCTGGAGCGTTGAAAGGCCAAACAATATGGTCAAGTGAAGCAACACATTTAGTCATCTGAAATCTTTAAAGCCAGATTAAATATTGCTGTAGGAGACGCATTTAAATATCAATTCTCAAAAACGGCTTTATTGTAAGTGGGATTGGACAAATTCATGTTTTAACTGCAAAACCAGATAAGAGGGGTTGTAATTTTATTTATTTGAACACTCTGAAGTATTATCAGATGCTAACAGGAGACATGTTGTGGTAGTGGGTAAGCCGTTTGAAACACAAATAATTCTCGGTAATATCTACGGGCCCTGTGATGGACTGGAGACCCGTCCAGGGTGACCCCGCCTCTTGCCTGTTGAGCGCTGGAGATGGGCACCAGCACCCCTCCCCTGGATGGATCTCGATATTTTCATTTCAGTTGCTAGGTCCTCAGAATTTTTTTGCTTTTTTAGCAACAAATTTCTGTAGAGGCTCAGCTATGTTTGGAGCTGTTGTCACTTGAGGAACCTCATAGAAGAACAGATCACGTTGTTCACGTGATCTGGAACAACAGGTCCAGATGGCTTACTCATAGAGATTTCCCAGAAAATCCCCTGAAATAGAGATTTCAGGGGATTTTCTTCAAAACTTGCACCTATCAATCAGTTTATGGTTAATCACAGGTAAATTGAAAAATACCTCAATGCTCACACAGGCGATAATCTCAGTCCTATTTACCTTTCCTACAGCGTTAGCTCTCTGGTGTTTGGAGGTCTAAAAATTAACAAGAAAATGTACTCGATATGGTTTTTATTGCCTGATTTGTTTTGTGACTCTTTGTAACTTGACACAACCTGAAGTTATTCTGAGTGGCATTAGGACCCTAACCCCCTAACCCTACCCAACGAGTTGCTGTCGTTTCCAAACACTTCCATTTCCTTATAATACAGATGACAGTTGACTGTGGAAATTTCACGACTGGATTTGCTGCACAGGTGGCATCCTATCACGGTTACGCGCTGGAATTCACTGAGCTCCAGAGAGCGAGCTATTCTTTCACAAATGTTTGTAGAAACAGTCTGCATGTCGAGGTTCTTCATTTTATACACCTCTGGCCATGGAAGTGACTGGAACACCTGATTCTGATCATTTGGATAGATGAGCAAAAACTTTTGGCAATATAGTTTATCTGAGATTGAAGTAGCATTGTCCATAACAGGACAGATAAACGCTATAAAAATGACTATAATACCCAGGTATTTGTAGGTAGGATTTGGTATTTTCTTCTAAAATCCTATTTTGTCCAGCTAGACTGACATCTCCTCATTTATATAGAATAAAAAACCTGCACATATAAAAAAAAAGCTATTTTTGAGAGAGCTAAATCGGACGGAGGGTTTGGTTTGCGTTATTTTTTATTCCATTATTGGGCAAATAATATTGTTAACTTAACATACTGTGTGTGATCAATCTGGAAGGGTCAAACAGCATGTTTCCATGGTGATGACATGGGTTTGTCAAGAGGATCACTTGCTCTAATCCCTTCAAAGGCTTCTTCTGGATTGATACTGCCTCTCAAAAGTGTTGGAAAGAAAAGAGCATGCTTTGTTATTTTTTGAAGGAGGCAGATTGTCCACATGATTTTATGTGTTTAGGTTTTGACTCATAGCCTCAAGGTTGTGGATTTGCTCTTTACAAGCAGGTTCCAACAGGTTTTCCTAGCTTTTCCTGTCTGGTTTTTGAGGATCTTTTGGTGTGCTTAACTTTACCAGGCAAGTCCCATTTAAGTGATGCCTTGATCGAGAAGAGGTGGGGCAAGAGACAATAAACTCAGGTGTGATAAACCACAGATATGTTTTACCCGGGGGAGAGAAAATCACTTTTTCACACACGGCCATGTACGTGTGGATTTCTTTCCCCCTCTTCCTTAAGAATAAACACCTTCATTAAAAAAACAGCATTTTTGTTTAGCTGTTTTGTATTTGACTAATATTTAAATTGGTTTCATGATGTTCTGAAAAATAAAATGTCATTTTTAACTTCAAATAACTGAAAAATAAAAAAGAAATATACCTCTTTATTGGTTTTATAAGTGTTAACAGTCTTTGTTTGTGTGCGTATGTGTGTGCGTATGCATGTGTGTGTCATCTGATGTGAGCAGGCTGCTGTCTGAAGTCCAAGGAGTGTAGGGCAGTAGCCACAGCTGCATACAGGTGAGAGCTGCTGAATCTCAGGCAGTATATGGGGCTGCTCAAAGAGTCAGAGCTCAGCTGGAAGAACTGCAAGAAAAAACAAAAATGTTTTGTTAAAGTCTAAGGATGCCTTTAAAGGACAAAGTATTTTCATTCATTTATGTAACAGATTTTCTGACAGGTGCATGAGGATCACACCTGCAAGCATTTGGTTTGACGTTTGTCCCAAATACGGACCACGCCGTAGTATGACGAGCCACTGGCTATCATGTGATTTCCATCTGTCTGGATGCAGTAGAGAGCACTGTCATGAGGCTCCTCCCACTCCATCACACACTTCCTGTTGGAAAAAAAAGGTAGATGTTTTATTACGTGCTGCACTTTCACACACTCATACACATGCTTGTACTTCTACACAAACTGTGTTCTTTGTACTGAGTGTAAACATTTTAGTAACTGCATTTATGACTAACTCAAACATTTTCCATAACCCTATTCTAACCATAACCTTAACTAAAACTTAATTCACACCAAATCTCGAAATCTAACAAACAGAGCACAGTAGAACTGCAAAAAGGTGAGGGTCCTCACTTTCCATGATTGACCTAACTTTGTTGTAAAATATTATGAAAGTGGTCCTTTATATATAGTATATACAAGTATCCACACACAACCACAGACACGTGTTGAGATGATGGCTAATCATTTCTCATTTTTAACAAAAGAGGGATGTAAAAGTCAAAGACTTTGCTTTTGGGATCATTAATAAAAATCCAAATCTAATCCTAATCCTTTCTATTCTGTCATGACGTTTCCTCTTTGCATCAGTATTGTGCTTTAGGTAACAACATCAACAATGACCGTTCAGTGCCTTTTGTCTAGTCACTGTGCTATAGAGGGTCTGGATAACATAACAAGAATGAGGAGCAGCTCTCTGAGATTCTTAGCCTGACCCAGAAGGCTACAGAGCCGTGGACAAGATCCTGCTTTGTTCCGGTACCAAAGTGAGCTCACACTTCACTCCTTAATGACTAGGATGTGGAGGAACTCCTATTGACCAATAGTGGACCCTCTGCAGACACCACCATGTACCTGCTTCAACAAACCCACAGTCATATGGGAGTAGCAAAACAATTTGATACATGCTGCCTTCTGAAATTACATTAATTGGTGATCATTAAAGTTTAAAAAGAATATTAAAAAAAAGATTCTTTAAAAAAAAAAAAAAAATAATATAAAAATATATTATTATAAAAAATAATTTAAATAAATTTATATTAATAATAT